ATCAAAGCAAAGAACAAGTACTATTGTGGGTGAATGAAAGGTGTTGCAACGAGAATTCTCCGCTCTGCATTAGCTTTTGCGGTATACGCGATGTCTCATAAATATTGCAACACGTTTCCTAGCTTGAAACTTCTTTCAAAATATAGATGTGTCTTCAAATGGTTAGACACAATCTTTTCCCAGACATTTACCTGTTGAAAGGCTTATATCAATCCGACATGATGCCCGTTGTCGCAGAGTGTGCTTCCCAGTGCTTCGAACAAAACTCAACTGTGCCATGACATACTGGAGGGTCCTCGTTTAAAGGAAGCGGTCACGCTGGCTTCCACGCTGGATTGGGATTTGCTACACCTCGCGTTTCAATTTGTTGAGCAACAGGGTCAAGCGTGCGTTGAGGAATCCTCGACACGTCACAGGGGGGGGTCGTATTGGCCCGCTGGGAGGAAGAGATCGGGCCAGATTGATGCAGTAGGATCATCGTCGGAGGACAAACATCAAGGATCGAGTCGATGCCAGGCCAGAGTATTTCCAATAACAATTGATTCCGCCCACAAATCTTCGTGATTTAGAGGTGTCCGCTTAGCAATTCTTAGTTACTTCAGTGTTTTATCACCACACAAGTTAAAGAATCCGAAATTCGCACGTTTTCCAAGGGATATTTTATCTTTCAAGTGTGAGTCCTCAAATCCGAAGGGATGTGAAGCACACGGCGCATCCCAGAGTGGGCCCAGTTGGTTGCGCGCGCTTCAGCTACGGCTATCTTGATAACGAATCTTAATTCAGGAAGAATCAAGAGGGTTCTGAAAGAGTTCATGTTAAATTACAGAGAGGAGTACACTATTCAACAAGAAACGCAGCCTTCAGCGTCAAATTCACTGTATCACCTGTATCACCTGTCGTCCCGTTGATCGTCGAATTTGCTCGAGCGGGCGCCAGCAACGTCTCCATTCGTCCCTGTCGCGTGCTAGGAGTGGTCCAGTGGATCCTCCTTGCTCGAGGGACACGAAGTCCATCATTCCTTTCGTTCAGAGCTTTCGTGAAGAAGTCTGACCATCGGGCCGGCGGTCGTCCAGGTGTTCGTTTGACGTCCCGAGGGATCCAGTCGGTAACCGCTCTGGTCCAACGGTCATCGCAAAATCGCATGACGTGTCCGGCCCACCTTATCTTCGATTCCTTGGCGAAAACGGCAGCGTCCCTGATCTTCGATCGTTGGCGTAGTTCGGCACTCCGGATTCCCCTCTGCACTTGCGTGTATAGGGTTACTCCTAGCATCGTCCTCTCGACAGCGCGTTGGATAACGCTGACCGCATGCTCGTCCTGCCTGCGCAGAGTCCAAGTCTCTGAGGCGTAGGTTAGGGCAGGAAGGACAGCGGAATCGAAGAGGTGGGCGAGGCGCGGATCGAAAAAGAGGTGGGCACGTTAGCGTAATGTTCTGTTCGTTATCTTCACTACATCCTCGAATGTCTTTGTACGCATCCATAGCGCCTAATTGGCGATTTTTGGGAGCGATTTTCAGTTTCGCGTTTCTTGCGATAGTGTGGGGGTATAGTATCGCATACGCCCAAATGTTTGCAAATGCAATTTTTATACGGGTTTCTCTCTTGGGTCAGCGCTGGAAGGCTAGATCGTTATCATCATTGTTTAAGAATCTGTGTCACCGACCGAAGGGCACTTTTTCTAGCTGGAGCATTCGGATATTAAGAGGTAATGGGAAGTGTTTCGTTCCGTAGAGGGGTGTGTAAATGAGGGCAATAGCAAACCAGTGGTTTCTCAATAAAAATGCATCTCGTCTTCGTTATAGCGTTCAGCTGTAAGTTGACAACCTCTACCATTCAGACGCAGTCTAAATCAGACCGCATTCGCTCGCTTGCTCGATGTTCGGCCTGTGATATAAACGATTGTCTTGTCGCTGTCAAGGCTGAGTAAGAAAGAAAGTGATTTTTTTTATTTGTTACTTTGGCATTAGGTGGTTGATATTTGTTTTGACGTGGATTTGTTGTTGCGGCCAGTCGTATCCTGGTTAACACTCAATGTATTTCATTCGCATGTTGCGCATGACGTTCTCATGTTAAGTTTTTTGCGTGTCACCGATCGCTTTCGCGCGTTGCATTACCGCTGAAGGTACTTTTGTGTGGGAATTTGAGGGACCATGGCGAGATGTTGTATGTCAGGTGGGTCGCCCTGTCGGACTTCATTCTTTTTTACTTTCCGTTATGATGTTATGGACTCCTTGGTTTTAGATAGGTTCTGACTGTCGATCTGGAGAATTGGTAAGTCATCGCTCAACAGCTGATTTTGTTGACTTGAAAGAAGCATATGATGTGCTACGCCGACCAGCTGATAGACGAGCGTACGATTTGCGAGGCTTTGAGTATGAGCGACTAAAATATCAGGATCCATACTATTATTACAAGAATCGCCAGCGGCAGCGACGTCCAGAGTGAGTGTTTCAGTGCTGTTATAAATGCATATATAAATGTGTATGTAAATGCGCCTGCTCCTGAACTAAATCATACAGCTCTTGAATCTCCATTCGTCACCTAACACATTGCGGACCGGGTATTCCAAGTAATCTTTTTTCTCATTAACAGTTATGACCTCTCAGTGCGATGAATAGTACTATATATGTTGATTTTCGAATCCGAAAAGTATAACAACATCTCACAAACGTGTAAAATGGTGATAAAATGGCCTTCTCTCATGTGGCTGCGTGATGCACTAAGTGCACCTTTGGTTCGCAATAGGATAAAGAGATCAACTTGCCTGGCCATATTTCATTTTCTCACTTCACCCGTTTTCACCGAAGTGAATGCGTCTAGATTCTCCTGTCATAGAAATCTAAGTGATGGGAAAGAACTGATATGAGTACTAATTGGCACTCCTAGTATCATTCTTCTACCATTCTTGATTCTCGGTCTATCTAGTCATATTTGAGCTCTGCCACTGAGAATAAAGAAGGGATTATCGGTACATAAAACTTACCATATAGGTCTTACGTTTTAACTTCCACCCTGCTGATAATAGTACTGAATTGATCCTCCCAATTCGACCATCTTAGTTTAAGCAGGATCGTATTCTTCACTCTAAGCACTCCACTGAGGTATTTTTGCGTTTCAGAACATCACAATAGTACAAGATCCACATCAACTTGCTCACTAAATTACTGCTTTCAGCGACTGGTACGGATTTTGGGGAGAAAGTCCTGGTAAAGCAGGAAACGTACGAGACTCAGAGTTCCGACGACAATCTGAAGACCAATGGCGTTTCATTCTCAAATTGACTGCCATAGGAGTCATTTTGGTCGTGGTGTACAACGTAGCATATGTGTGGGTCATTTATTCCTCTTTCACAGTCGCCGTTGTGTGCAAGTATTTTCGTGAAGTATCTTAGTTTTGCCTACGGTATACTGTCCGGTATCCTTAATTTGACGGACAAAATTAGAAGAGGTTGGAATAGGGTAAGGATATCCATCACACCGATTTCCATGACTAAAGAAACCGAAGTGCCCAATCTCTCGGTGGGACAGCCCTCTCACTGAGCAACGGGAACGCCCTAGTGAAGCTACCGTGTGGGACCAAAATGCTATAACCGCTTTCCATGTTTGCCTTAGTCGTCTGGGTCGTTTTGAGCCAATTCAACACCTCTTTTAGCTAACTTTATTTTTCTTCCGGGAAATTATAGTGTTTTGTGGTATGGTACAAGAGCCACGGTGCCATAAAAGGGAACACGCTGCTCATCAAAACAGAGAAGCCGAGGGGTTTATTTTAATTCCTATTGAAATCGTATAACTTCGTATAATTCCGACAATCATGCCAGGGCGGGATTCTAATGGACACATTTATATTTTTATAGCTGTAGACGTAATCATTCTGCACGCTTACAGAATAATTTGTCCACATAACCTGGCCGGGCCACGCAACTGTTTTACTCAATTTTCCTGCATTTCTTCTTTTACTCTTGCTAATCATGCACTTTTATCAGGATGCAATTGCGATCTCGCCAACGCAAAATTGATCAGCTCGTTGATGAGGATGAAATAGCAAAATCGTTCATGAGGCAACCAGAGCTAAAAGGTACAGCAATGGACCGTTTGGAGGTACGACGTTATCCTTTTCAACTTTTTTTTTCGATAACTTTGGGCATGTTTTGATTCTTTGTCTAAGTTAGGGAAAATATGTTAGGTTCAATAGATTCCAATTCAAGATGCAAGAACTTGGTCGAATTTTGAAAGGAGATGTAGACGAGGCTTGGCGAAGGAAACAAGAAAGCCTGGTAGGAAAGAATCTGAATGAGATCAGAGAAGAACATAGGTATATTTTTATTTTTTTATCACAAGTAATTTTTTCTAATGAAATCTAGTTGATCGGTTTGCATGAGTTTCAGGTGGTTTCGAGCTGTCCAGGATGCTGATAGTACACGTAGAATAAAAGCCGAAAGAGCGGAGCGGCGCCGAAAAGAAAGGATTGCTGCACGTGGAGGCGTCTCTGAGAGCGACCGCACAGAATAGAACGGTCTTAAGGTCGCAGTCCAACTTCTAGGTGTGTAAATTACAGCATCTTTTGTAATTACTATCAGACATAACAGGTATAACGCGTTTAGCAGCTTGGTAATTTTCAATACTTTGGCTGACATTGCCGGTGTAATTTTTTTCATTGAGAATGACAATCATCATTTCAATCAATTCATTGAAAGTGTAATCTACGAACGTCAAGGGTTATAACCATTTATTTAAAGCGGAAACCGATCAAACCAAAAGTCAGCAGTTCTCTTACAATTAGTGAGTGGATTCTATTAAGCAGGATAAGGTTAGCAGTGGTGACAGGCGATACTTTAATAGCAGGTCTTACTGGTTCTAGTTCTGGTTCTGGTTCTTTCTGTGCTAGTTATGAACATTTCGATGAGCAACGGTGCTTCGGTCACTACAAGACCTTACGAGCACCGTAGCCCGATATGTTGCTATTCCGATGCTTATCGAGGAGGCCTTCAAGGAATGTAATTTTAAGGGATAGTTTCAATAAAATTAGTGCGAAGTTCCAAACACCTCTTCTTCGGTGATGTCTGCTCTCTTTTTCGAAGGTGGCCCGAGTCACAATAGTTTTTGAGACATCTGCTGCGCCTCCGGCCTACTGCTTTAAGTTAGGCTGCCTTATTGAATCAGAGAATCATTCCCTTCATGGCATAGAAGAAGGTATGCGGCTTCGCTCGACAAGCACAAGTTGCTGCAACTCATACTAAATACCACATCTCGCAACTTTGCAAAATTGAGACGTTATCTGGGGCGGTTCGATTTATAACGTGATTGTGGTACCTAAAGTTGATGAAA